GACGAGCATGTATGTATACACGTGAGATGTATGTATGTTTACACCTGACGAATTAATAGTGGTTATTGTAGTTAGAAATGTCAAGAGATCGTCAGCGTTGTTAGTAACGTATACGACTCCAAACACGAGGAAACCAAGTTCAAATCCACTTCGCCTAAACTGAAGAAAACAAGTCGTTAAGAGGAAGCCCATCTAAGACCTAAATGATGACACTTGAATCATGGACTGGCGACGACGTTACCGGGCACCTCCTTCCCGGTACTGACGACGCATGACGCTGGATGAAAGGAAGCTGGATGAAAAGTTGAAACTTATAACAACAATTAACATTCATTGTTGTTACTCCTCGCTTGCCATAATGTTCAAAACAATGTTCATCGAGCGCAACCCCATAATATCGAGTGTCGAATATTTAGGAGACTGATATCCTCAAAAGGCCGCTGACCGTAAGAGCGAGCAGTCGTATACAGGATAAACTAAATGTTTACGATCTCTTCATTTTGCAAAATTGTAGGAAACTGATCGAAAACAAAACTCGCTGACCGTGGAAGTTCTTACACAGACGCAATGCACGACGACGATCCCCTTTTTTTTTTAAATTGTAAGAAACTGATCAAAAGTAGCTATATCAAAAATATATGAAATTTTTTTTAATTTAATTTCCCGAACGTGCACTCAGAAGCAGTTAATTGATATCGAAAATATTGGAGTCGAATTACTTTCTATAAAAATTCCCAAGCATTATTCCTTCTTACTTCTTTAAAAGTACCTTTGAGTTATATTAAATTTCTTCCGTCGATGTAAAAAATTATTTTATTGTATTTTTGCTGTTTCAACATTAAAAGCAGTGTGAGATTTTATACTTGTCAGTGAGCAAAGCACATCGTTATATTTCAGAAAATACTTTTATTGTAATTCAGCGTTTGACAAGCGCTTATTTTATTTGGAAATTAGGTTGTGAATAATTGAAATTTTCGAATTATCGCGTGTAATACTATGTATTTGTGAAACTGTGGAAATAAAAAATTATCACAACGATAGAGAAGTTATATCAGTTGGATAATGAGTTTATTCGCATGCCTAAGAGAATTATACAGAACAATTTATAATTTAATATATCTTAAAATAATTTAATATAATTTAATTGCTAATATTACTAGTCCCTAAGCACTATTGGCAAAATAAACTACCCCCAAATAGTGTTAAAGTAAATTTAAAGTAAGTGCTCCTAAATACCAGAGATAAATAAACCACCCATGCAAGGCGAAACCAGTCTGTACAAACTTACCACGCTAGCTTCATCCTTCCAAATGAATACTAATACTAACATTAAAATGCTAACATTAAATGACTACCGATGTTGAAATAAACCGTTCTTAATTACTAATATTATTATAAATTATTTCTAAGCACTAGCATCAAAATAAACTACCCTCGAATACTAGTGTAAAAGTAAGCTGCTCCTAAATGCCAGAGATAAATAAACCACCCATGCAGTCCGTACCACGCCAGCTTCAT